TAGGTCGAGCCATTGTAACGAGTATGTGTCTTTTGAGAATCGGCGGAGGATGTTGGTGGCTTCGTGCCAGTCGTCATCGAGGTCGGAGTAGAAGTGCGACCCGCCCAGTGATACGCTCGTGTGCTTTGAGATCATAGATGTGGTGTTTGCGTTGGGTGTCATCGAAGGCCGTGGCCAGTGCGCGAGCGAAAGGTGTGTGATCTTGTTGAGGTTGGGCGAGATACGAAGTAAGTCAGGCCATGAAGCCCATTGCCCAGGTTTTGCAAGGGAAAGCCGGCTCAGGTTGCTGAAGTAGGGCGTTTGGAGCTTCATTGCTGGTACCAAGGGTGCCGTTGGACTTTCTTGTATTTCCTCTTCCCAGGAGTCGGCGACGTCTTCGGTTACGCGGAGTGAAGCGAGATCAACAGTCGTTATAGCACTGGAAACGGGACGCTTGACGCATTTTCCAAGATCAGTGATCTTGAAGCGTTCGCTCAAGAGTCCGCTGAGGTCGAGGAATTGCACTTCCTCCCAACCAGCTGTACCGGTCCCCTCTTCATCCTGGAACAGGATCTTGAGCGACTTGAAGTCCAAGCCTCCCTGCCCATATAGTGTGAGATAGCTCAGTAGCGCTTCTTTTAGCGATATCGGTAGCGATGGAATGTAGTGTTGTTCGTACTCGGAGAGCTCTTCCCAATGTTGCGCAAATGTTCGGAGACATTGGTGGACGAGGCTTCGCGGCGGTGGTAGGCGCTGTCATGAGTAAGAAGCCTGAATTGTTAAGCCTGGAAGACCAGATGTGCTAGCACGCCACCTCCCCGACGAAGAAATTGAACACTCAGGAGCCTACGTTGACGCTAGACCTTCAAGACTGAATCCTTCTACGCTAATGTAGGCTCCACGGTGTTGAATTCTCCCATCGATTGAGGTGACGCGCTGGGGAGCATCGTACCTTCAATTCCTCGTTTGTGATCCTAGCCAGCGTGGCAAACCTCACGGCGCCCTTCTCTGAATCGGTCTTCTTCTTCCTCATATGTGCTGGCGCATGCCGACTCGTCTGCAACCAGCTTGAAGGTGCCGCGGGGCCTGGTGGGGGTCTCACGCCGCCCATGACCCTCCGCGTGCGTGTATTCGCCTTTGGTTTGGGAGCATTAACTTCGGGTATGTGCAGGATGCGCCGCAGCTCTGGCGGAACGGTACGACTGCTTACTACCGAAGTGAGCTCATCGCGCTGTTCGGGCGTTGCTCTCGGAGCTTGTTCGCGACGCAGCTGCTGGATGCGCTGGTTGACGGTTTGGGGTTCAGACGACGAGGACGAGGATGCGGGGGAGCGCGAACTCTGTAGCGATGGGTGAACGTAAGACGGTTTTGCTGTTGTGTACGAGGGCGTGTGCTTCTTGGGCATGGCACCGACGACGGTTGCTGCTGCTGCGCGTGGAGCCGGAAGCTACCTGGTGCTGGTATTGGTACGCTATATGAGTGACTCCAGGGTAAGCGGGGATCAAGGCAGGTGAGTCAAACGGCTATGACTGGATCAAAGAAAGGGCTGAGTGCTACAAGCCCTGCAAGAATGTTGATAAAGCAGCGACAATGGGATGGTGACTCAATGCCATGCATGCGCAGATGGCATCAGATGCGGCCATGTTCCGGGCTCGTCATCGCGCCACTTCGGTTGTGGCGCGCGCCAACACGCCTGCGCACGTGTTGGAGCGACTATTGATTTTGACCCGTCAACTGTCGGAAGGAACGTTCGTCCCGTATGCTAGATGGTGGGAAGGAACCGAGCGATCATATAGGCCCTCGCCAATCTAATCGTGATTATCGCAAAACCAACCGTATGGTGTAGCCAGCCTTGGAAACTTCTCCAAATTGGCACGGGGGAGGCGGAGTTGCCACCGTCTGTCAAGTCGCTGTCACTGTCAACAGTCACGCTAAACACGCGGGAAGCACATAGTTCTGTCCAGACCGTCGCTCCTCACCCTTTTATCTCTCTCCTTCTCCTATCCTCACAAACGAAGAGCAGAAGCTGACACTGTGGTTGTCGCTCACGGCCTCATTCGCTGATACCGCCGAAACCACCGAGTGGCATGGAATCTTCCATACTTTTTGATCACGGATTCCCCCTATTGACCCGGCATTAATGGGCTTCATTTCTCGTGATCGCGACTACAGGCATGGCAATCTTGCGCGCCCCGTCATCGCCCTGAGTACCAAGCACCGACCCACGCGCATGCTGGTCTGCTAATTTTATCTTCATGGTTACTGGTTACTGGTTACTGGTCACTGGTCAGCTACGGCAGATCCTCGTAAGGCAAGATCCGCCGTTTGGGTGGAGCTCAGCTCAGGCCGCTCAAGCCCGCCTCATCTTGAGCGCGCGTCGTCGCTCCTATCTTTTTTTCTCCCTCCACCTTTTCTTGTTTGTCAACCACGACGCTGCCACTGACGATGACATGACCTGCCTTCCGGCGTTGCTTTCGTTTCCACTTCCACCCTTCGATTAGCGATGCGATAATACCCTTGGAGCATTTTCACACTCGTTTACTAGTCTAGTTGCACATTATGCATTTCTCGCCTTCCCGCCTGGTCATAGGCATCGCCGTCTTTGTCGCTGTTAGCTTCTTCTACACCATCAACTCGATATCCGCACGCGATCCTACCTCCATCTTCTTCAACCCACGAAAAGGCTATGCTCCCCGCTATTCCGCCGTCAGACGCCAGCAGGCCGAGTCCTTCGTCGAGTCCTACAACCCCGCAAACGTAACCAAGGCCGGCCCCGAGAAGCAGCGGAAACTATGTGTGGGCATATCTTCTTACCAGCGCGACGGTGCTCAGTATCTGCCAGATGCTGTGGGCTCGCTACTTGAAGGACTTACGCCTGAAGAGCGACAGGAGATATACCTCATCGTCTTCATACCCCACTCGAACCCCGGGGCACACCCTGCGTACAACGAGGAGTGGCTATCTGGTCTTGCCGACGAGGTATTGACCTACGGATACGGCTACGACCGCATGCAGTACATTCGGATAATGGAGGCACGAAACAACTATATCGAGAAGGGGTTGTTCGACTACCAATACCTGTTGAACAAATGTACGGAACAGTACACACCCTATGTTGCTCTTTTCGAAGACGACACAGTTGCCATGGACGGCTGGTACCACCGTACCCTCGGCGCCATCCACGAAGCCGAGCAACAAGCCGCGTTACAGCGCGCGAAACCCGACTTCCTCTACCTACGCCTCTTCTACACAGAAGAGTTCCTCGGCTGGAACGCCGAGGAGTGGAAGACGTACTTGAAGAACTCAGTCTACGTGGCCCTCGTGCCCACCGTCGTCATCCTCTTCCTCCGCTTCGCCCAACCCACCACCAAACTCACCCTCGCCCTCATGACCCGCCGCACCTTCTTCGCCATGTACACCATACTCGCCCTTCTCATCCTCATATACTTCGGCCTCGGCCGCATCACCGTCCAGCCCATGGCCGTCGGCGTCCACGAGATGCCGCGCTTCGCCTGCTGCAGTCAAGCCTTTGTCTTCCCCAACGTCAAAGCCGGCGAACTCGTCGAGTACTTCAAAGAACGCCATCTAGGATACATGGACGTCATAACAGAGGACTTTGCCAACGAACGCAACGAGCTGAGATATGCAGTCACACCCAGTCTGGTCCAACATGTGGGAAGGAAGAGCTTCCACGGTGACGATGTTGGTCCGATGAGCAAGTGGATGTTGAGTGTGGCAGAGAAGACGTGGAGTTTTGCGTTTGAGAAGTTCGACTGGAGGGCGCTAAGGAGGGAGCATGAAGAAGTTGCGAAGATGAGGAGTGATGCGAGAGATCCGTTTGCTGGTGGGCTGGAGATATAAATGCAGGACTCGAGTAATGATTTCCTATAGACTACTGATATGTTAGATCGAGATATACCCATGAATTTGTCAATGTATTTTGTTTCAATGAACTCAACACAGCTTTTACTTGTTTTTGTGAGGTGCACACCATTGTGATCTCATCATGTCTTCCATCAAACCAATTGTCCGAGACGTGTGCGTGAAATTCATTTGGCATAATGGAAACAGAGTCATGCATACCGAAATGTACTACTGTTCGAATTATTTGAGAAGTAAAGTCGACTTACATACTAGCCGTGAACGTATTGGGGCTGGGATTTTGGTGATTGGCCAGTCTTGGCTGCTCGTTGGGGGAGAACTGGGAGGTGGAAGTGATAGCTTGCTCGTCAACGCAGGATTTTGTGGGCTAAGAAAGGTTCCAAAGAACAGTCGATCACATCTTAGTGTGCCGGAGTTATGTGTGGACCGACTCCAGGTCTGATCTTGCTTGACGCCGTACCGCTGAAGCGTCACTCATGGCCTGACTGAGCGCGCAGAAGTGCCGAGATTGACACGTCGCAGTATGGATCTTGACGCTGTTAGTTAAGCTCATTTGTGCGGGGTTGATAAGGGCTTGCCGGCTTCCTGTCATGTCACTGCCTCTTTCTTCACCCTGCTCCTTCACTCCAACCTTTTGTCCACCGACCATCTGATAGCCTCAGTATTTCACTATCTGACAAAGCTGATTGTGCGAAATGTCTCAAAACTACTCCGCTTCTCACCAAGTTACGTCCTGCGCTGGATACGATGTCATCGGTAAGTTCGCTCGTTCAACTTTTGCAGCGACGACGTGGAGCAACCACAACATGTAGAAACGCGGGTAGCGAAGTGTAGGGGCTGCATCCATGGTCCGAAGATATATATAACTATTCTACACAGGATAGAACTGCAATTCCGCACAAAACTGGGATTTCTGAAACTTTCGTTGAAATCGTTGTTGACGATTTGGTGTTGGGATTTCCTCGTAATTCACGAGCTTCTATCACGAACCACTGTTTAACGCCACCAAATATGAATACAAGCACTGGCTAACACCAAATTCAGATTTAGGAGAAGAAGATGGGTTAAAGTTCATTCGCAACGGGCCAACGAGCGTTGACTTCGATCTCCAGCCTGGGTATCTCATCGACCGCACCCAGATGTCCGACTTTTATCGCCAGATGAATCATTTCGCCACCCCGGGCCCGATCAAAAACCTCGGCTTCAAGCTATTCAATCACCACGGTCACTTGAGAGAGGAATACAAAGAGCACATCGTCAAGAAGGGGTCTGGCATCTGGGGGTCGGAGCTAGACACTGGTCTTCTCCTTCTGCTCAACGGTACCACGACAAATCATGCCGCTCGATGCCACGGTGGGAGCGCACGCATCATGCGAAATGTACTGCAGATCATTTCAAGAAGCCTGTGTATGCGTTTGTCAATTCATGGGAAAGCACTGCAAAGGGATCGACTCCTTGCACCTTCCACGATGATCAAGAACAACGTTTCCGTGATCTAGGATTCCGACGTGTGGGCAACACAAAATTCTTCGCCTTGTCGAGCGACGTCAGCCATTCGTGCTATCGCCTACCCGCAGCAGATGATTTCGATCCTGCGCCTTTACAGCCATCCAAAGGTACCGAAGACTTCATGAACATTGTCGTCGACGTCCTTGCATCTCCAGACCACTTGTTCCGCGAAAAGCTGGATACTAAATACAGTGAGATGAGCTCGGAGGAGGTTTATGGGGTTGTCCTACACTCTTCAGGTGGCAACCTCCTTCACATTGTTGCTCTCAGTGGGATGTACCAAAGTGCAGCTTGTATGGTTGCCCGCTGGCCTGAACTGCGTGATGCGAGGAATGATGCGGGTGAAACCCCGCTTGAGGCTTTGGAATGGCTGATCGAGGAGGATAAAATGAGACTCGAATACTTCGATGCGAGTGAGCGATTTAGGCATGGATGGCTCACGCCCAAGAACACTGAAGAGACCTTAGCTGTGCTACGTGGATAGTTAGCTTACCCATGGGGTCAACGAATTCGTTCGGTACAAAGATCCTCATAAACTCATCAGACGATTGTTAAACGTGTTGGACTTTATGAAATTTCGACTAAAGCAAGTGCTGGATACACCGCGCACATGTGAACTGTAGAGAACTACGACGCTGAGCCATTGCCAGTCTGCTCTTTACCCTCTTCGCTGCTCACTGGGGTATACTCAGCTCCAATCAGCTTCGCCAGCTCTGAGATGTTGGTGTGATCAACCGTGTTTTGCATGCGGTACATATACTCGCATTCGCCATCTACAAATGCCTTTTGTTAGCAGTGCGACCGCGAAAGGACCAGTCAACATCTGAACACTTACCAGCCGATAGAACCACCTCCCCACCATTCAGTGCCTTTGGTCCCACAGAGTTCACATGCTGCAGGTTTCCCAACGCGCCCTTGATGCCGCCGAAGATTCTGGACATGGTACTACCCGCGTTGCGCATGTAATCTCGCTGTTCGTCACCAGCTTTGCCCTCAGCTAGATTGGACTTGAACTGGAAGAGCTTGTGCAGCCGAAGGCTTGGATCAGTGTAGATAGGGTATTTGGACGAAGTGTTGGCAGCATAGGTATCGATGGGCTGATAGGAGCCGCATCCTATGATGAGAACTAGACACGATCTGTTAGATGAATGTGCTGTAACCTCGTACGGCCCATGCTTACTCTGCGTATTGGAAGGGAGATTCGAGGGCGGTATAGACTCGCTAATGCAGCGGACGTATGCTTGGCAGTTCAAGCACCCTGTCGATGTTAGAATCCTTCACGCATCCTGATCTTCCACTACCCTTCTGATCGAGATGATGCGAGCGTAGCACATGAACCCTGCGATTGAACAGCACTCACAGAAATGCCGAGTGAACACCAATACAGTCCTCTGGCCTTTGACCAGTTCACCCAATGTCTTCGTTTTCCCTTCGCGATCGTACACATCAACTTTGAGCGCTTCCGACAGCTCCTCGGCTGTGGGCAGTTTACGTGCGCCAGTCACGTCGGCGGATTCGGGAGCAGCGGCAGCCATCATGTATGATTTTGCATGTAATGGGGGTCTATCTCGAGTTTCTGTGGCGGTTGGCAGCGCGTTGTTTGCTGTCTATGGTCATCCCTTGGTCTTGGTGATGACGATTGCGGGTGACGGGAGCGGCATGGCGTTGGGCTAATGGCGGCGCTAGTACCGATACTATATAGTGTGACTGCCATGAGCGTGACGCTGTTCGGAAGGAGCTCTGGCTGTTTTTCTCTTGTTCGATCGCACCACATCACGTCGTTGTGAAACAGAACGACTCCTTGTAAAAACATCAGGCCTTGTCTACAACACATGCGCTGAAGTCTATGTCGCCGACGGTTTGCTTGCAGCACCATTTGACGAATTTGAGTTCATCAATTACAGCAGGAGATACAGAGACGAGAAGTTGCGACGAGATTTCAGCCATAGATGAAAGCGCACGAGGCTCGATACTATTGTCGCGCAAAGCTTAGCAGAACTTGCCTTTGGCGACTCGGATCTGGACTACCACTAACACACCGATTGTGCCAGCTCAGCCTCGCCCTTCAGCACGTTCCAAATCGCGGCCGCCGAGGCATGCAACAACCACGAAGCGCCGTTCGTGATGGACTGAAGCGGAGCGTCCGGACGCGGGGATTTGTTTTCATGGAGACGATCGGCTAGCCGAAAACCACGTCAAAAACTCACAAATCTTCCGGCCACATCGTATTCGGCACATGGGACTACCCGGGCAGGCAGTACGTGGATCCCAAAAGTGACATCAAATGTAAGGTTACCTTGCAATTTGGTCCTATTTTGTCACCGCTGCTCGGATGACAGCCGAAGCGATCACCTTTCAAGCTTCGTCAAGCTCGATTGACAGGTGCTATTCCATAGTGGGCTGCTAATAATGGAGCGACTAGTCGTTAGCTGCCCATCAAGCCTCGCCGGGATGCATCCGAACTATCGAAAAAGACCCTTGAACCAGGAAACGTCGCTCGTGTTAAGCGCAATATCGTCATATCATGCGACTGAGCCTCGTATTGCGGCGCAACAAGAGCCGAACGTCGTAGAAGTCTCGCTCGCGAGCCAATGAGGCTTCTCTCGCCTCTCCGGGAGCCTCACGAGAGCCACAACATGACACCAGGGCTAAGCAAGGACGTGATCAGCTGTTCCTCCTCCGTATATCCGATCACACTCCGTTACTACCGACAGTTAGGATGACATCGTGGTGGCCATGTACATGAAAGATATATAGTCCAGCCATCGCATCTCCAATTATTTCCATCTTTATCACCAGTCCACAGTCAAGCACAACTAGCAGCACCTCCTCAACACACACCATACATTTCTATTTCACCCAAGGCCCAAAAGACATCATCGCCAAGATGCTCGCCAAATCTGCCGCCATCGCATTGATTCTAGCATCCGCTGCATCAGCATCTCCGACTCTCCGCATGCGCGAGGACAAATGCACAATCGCCTACGACTCGTGCGTCGCCGCAGGAACTGCTGAAGTCATCTGCTCATGCGACCGGACCGCTTGCTACGGTGAGGACGCCGCCCGCATCCGCGAGTGGTGCTCATCTCAAATCGCCCTCCTCCCGAAGACGACCTCAACCGCTACTTCAGCGGCGGCCTTCTCATCCATCTCCGGTATCCCCGGCGGCTGCAACCCAGCTCACCCCGGATCGTGCCCTACCCCAACCTCTGCCCCAGCTGCCACTTTCTCATCCATCTCTGGCATTCCCGGAGGTTGCAACCCAGCCCACCCAGGATCATGCCCTACGCCATCCGCTGGGTCTCAGCCAGCCGCTGTTCCTACACCAACTGCTGCCCCTTGCCCTGCGGTAACCGGAACACCCAACTCTAGCCCCAAGCCCGTTGAGGGCAAGACATGGACCGTCTCGAACCTAAGCCGCTACTGCATCGACGGAAACTCGGGTTGCGACTACAACTTCGACTTCACCGCGGATGGCAAGACCGAGCACTGCACTATTATCCGCATGCCGGGCTCCAACGCTGCTACCGAGAGCTGGTCCAACCAGTCGTGCGGTACCGACTTGACCGTCTCTTGGGGATACACCGCGCAGCCCGCGCCCGCATTCGCTGTTATCACTGTCAGCAAGTGCAGTGAGCTTGCTTGGTTCGGCGTTTCTGATGTTAATGGCGGAAAGGTTTCGCCCAGCAGCCCCTTTGGCTCTGGTGACTTTGGCGCTCTTCCTGCCTCGCCTGTTTACACGTACTACTAGAGGGTCTTCATGTATGATTAATGAGAAGGAAATGATGGATATTCCGAAACGGGTGGATTTAGATTGATGTAATGACTTCTATAGAGTAATCGACTTGATAATTTAGAATCCTTTCCTAGCTCGTGCGGTACAATCCCTTCGCATCGCACACAAGAAAAAATGGAATACTTTTGCAACCTGTATCAAGATAGAAACGTGCTAAGTAGGCAGCCTAACGTTGACGTAGATATTGTAGTGTTTAGTCTTTTCCTTATGTGAGGTCTTCGATCGAAGGGCATCTTTCTGTGATCACCCATGGAAATGATCGCAGTGCAGCGTCAAATTCACCGAAATGGATACGATGATCACTGAAGAAGCCGCAGTTGGCCCTTATTTACAGTATTACACCAAGACGAATTCCTCGCCCTCATGTCTTCCCCAAAATGAAGTCGCGCACCGACCGTTCACTGGCCCGAGTTGCCACGATTTTCCAAGTTGGCCTTCTACGTGACAGGTTCCCACCAAAGTGAAACGATTATTTCCACACGGTCTCAATACAATGATATGTTCAAACCCTTGCAGAAAACATATCATGTCGCCTTTAGCTGGTCGCCTTACATGACCCAAGTGCCCATCTTTTGTCAAGAAGAGTTGTCTGTTATCAAGAAGATATGTGAGATAGCGTAATGCACCCAGGTTCTTGTTCCCTCTTACCCCCTGGATCTTGTCATGTGTGTCTCGATATTCGTCGTATTCTTTTAAGAGTTCCATAGTGCTGTAGTCTTCTGAAGTGCCATGGAAGTCCTTGAAATCGATATCAGGGCAGTAGGGTCGAGTTAAAAGGACACCCAAAAGACGCTCGCGGGAGCAAATTGCGTATCTCTGTACAAGATCCCTCCGTTCATCGAGCGCAAGATATTCTTCAAGATCTTCTTCGTACCAATTCTTGGCGCGAAACCGATATTCGGGCGCAAAACATGTGCTTATGGTATCAAGGCGCACTCCTCTGACCTTCAATTCATCGAACTTTCGCGGTTCCTCGATATCGCACGGCATAAGGTATGATTGCATTAACGGCAGAATGTATCTTGAATTATAATCCCGCACAAGAAGCGGTGCCGAGATCGGTGCTTTCCATTCAGGGACCCAGGATGGCAAACGCTTGGATAGGTATGATCCACTTTCTCGTTCGCAGTATGATAGAATCTCCAAGGATTGCATATCCCGGATGATCGTTGTCGCAGCCTTGATGAGGGTCCCCTCATAAGACAAATTGTAATCAGCGTGAATGCGTGTATGTCTTGATGTCTGTAAACCTAGGAATGCATACACGGAGTCTTTCAAGTCTGCTGTCTGCAGAAGTGGGCTGATTCTCGAAAGCCTCCAGGTGAAAGGCCGATCGTAGTCATGACCACAAGATACAGCATACCAGCTGTGATGCATTACGGACAGTGTGCGGTAGCTTTGTGTCGACACCATTTCAAGATGGGAAGCTAGCTGAGTAGGATCCTCAACAGGGTTGGAAGAGCTGATCTGGCAGTGCTGTGCACCTATACGTATCTGAGGGGTAGCAGATACTTTGCATATCCACACAAGTGCCAAGAAGGGTACGACAACGTCTCCGAACAGGAAGGCCGCATGCTTTGAAAGCACGATTTCCTGGAAAACCCATGCGCGCGAAAACCATTGACTTCCGAGAACTCGAGTAATCACTAAGAGGTCTCTAGGGCACAACTTGAGGAGTTCACTCTCAATTTTCTCTCTAATGAGAGAGGAACTCTCTCCCAGTTCAAGTGAAGAGCGCGCTACCTCAACGAGAGCAAGTAGCTGTTTGCTAGGTTCTTCCTCTTTGCCCAACCAAGCGATGACCCTTTTACCCTTCTTGTAGATCTTGCCCATGATCCTGACCTGATGGTTGCGCTCGTGCGTGCTGGACTGATTGATGTTGATTTGGTCGATCCACAGATGTCCAGTCTTGCATTCTGCCGAGAGATAAGGAAGGGCTTGGGCAAGGTTGTCGTTGATGCGTATCGTCCGATTATCTTGCAGACGTAGGATATTGCGGCGCGTATCCGGCCCCCAGACATACGAGACGGTTTCGAAGGGTGGTGCGTTTCTCAATGTTGTATGTTCGATGTTGTACCGCCATTCGCTTGGTCCTGTCTTCTCAACCTTGAATATACGTATTTCGTCTTCTTCTTTGAGAGCTCGATAGGTGTAGGCAGGTAGTGCGGAGTTATCTTGTTGGGCGCGTGCAAGGCTGGCTCTGGTTACTGGTCTGTGACCTGCATTCGATGTGATTTTGCGACGTTTGGCAGGCGGCTTAGGAACCTCCATTTGGACATTTCTTCGCACCAAGACTCGAAGGTAGTTTGTCTGAGCGAGGTTGAGATGAAGGAAAGTATTCAGGTGGGAGCGCGGTGCGGCTGAGATGATATGGGGCGGACAGCACAGCCCCGCTGCACACTCGCCCACCGATCAGGCAGCTGCGCACCATCTTTCGCTCAGCCCTCGTCGCATTACTTCTGCTACCACGCGGTTTTGATGTGCGAGTGAGTGCGCACCATCAAAACAACATTGCGCAATAACTGATTCGACTGTCCTGCGCATAGTGGCGCGTATCATTCATTGCGTCAGGCACGCGCAAGGTGTCCACAATCTGTCTTACAGCAACCACAACGTTCCAGATCCATCGCTCACACCGTATGGCGAGCGCCAATGCCACGAGCTTGCAGCAACGTTTCCGTACCACGGCGAAGTTGAGCTCGTGGTCGCTTCACCCCTACGACGAACAATTCACACCGCGTTATTAGGATTTGAGCCAGAAGTGTCACGGGGTGTCCAGGTCCTGGCCTTGCCCTCGTTGCAAGAAGCAAGCAGCTTACCTTGCGACACTGGAAGCGATATCAAAGTTCTTCAGGAAGAGTTTGAGAACACCGTAGCGGACCTCGGCCTCGTAGAAAAGGGCTGGCAATTGAAAGTAGGCAGATGGACCATCAAATCTTGATCCAGCATTCCAACAACCATCAGTGTAGGGTAGGCTTACCAAGTATGGCAGACTGACGCATCACTCACGAGTGCTTCACTTCTCGCAAGAGCCGAAAGCGCTCGGCAATGGCTTCGAGACAGACCGGAGAACAACATTGTTGTGGTCTCGCATGGCTGCTTCCTACACTTCCTGACCGATGACTGGAAGGGCTCGTTGAGCGCACAAGGTTTGCAGTCACTTGATCGCTGCATCATTTTGACGATTGCTGATCATCTATGACTAGCCACCGGATGGTCGAACGCGGAGTTTCGTTCATATGAGCTTTCGAGTGACGGTTGCAGCACCCTACTAAGGGAGACTGCAGAATCGAAGGAGAGGAGGGGAGTTGCAGCATGCGACCATGAGAGCGAAGAGGAGAGGCTGCTGGAGAGAAAGAAGACGATTGACACTTGGTTAACGTGGGGCGTTGTCACTGGTTGAATCATGGGGGATGGAAAGATTGTATGGTATATCGAAAGAACAGCACGCGTATCCGCTTGCAACACCGAAAACCTCTTCACCCCTCCATCTGCCCTCTGACGTCTTCCCACCACTCCCCAACCACTCTCGCCTTCTGATCATCTCTCACCTTGATCTCGCAGGGAAACGGCAACGGTCCCCCGATGACGTGCGGTGTCCATTGGTCCGGCCCAATCTCTATTCCTGCTTTCTTCCCAAGCTTGAAATTCTTGACCAAATTTCCACAAAAGACCAACAACTCCGCTTCCGCAAGGTCTTGACCGGGACACACTCTCTTGCCCCTCCCAAAGATATGATGGCCCTTCAGACGTGGATGTTCGGTAAGTGGAGATTTAAAATTGGGGGACGAGGGGTCGAGCCAGCGGGAGGGGTCGTAGACGGAGGGAGGGGAAGAGGAGTAGGTGCTGGGGTTTTGAGACATGGCGATGTCGAGTACGTGGACGACGGCGCCGCGGGGAAAGTGGTAGCCGGAGTGGGTGTAGTTCTTCGAGAGTAGGCGGGGGACGCCTGATGACTAGTCAGCTTCATGCTGCATGGAACTTGGTAAAGATCGAGGATTTAGGATACGGGGGAAGAAGGAACTTACCGAGTGGAACAGTACTCTTCCACCTCACACATTCCTTGATAGCTGCCCTCAAGATTGGTAACTGGGGGCTGTGCTTCAAGTCCACCATCTCATCCTTCCCAACTACCTCATCGATCTGCTGGCGTACTTTCTCCTGCCATTCCGGATGCAGTATCATAGCCATGACGAACAGCGTCGCCGGCCCGCCAATAGTATAGATCGCGACAGTGCAGAGCATGCCGACTGCAGCGATGGCCTCTTCCTCATCGGCGAAAAGAAGGTCGGTATCGGAGCCAATAGCTTTGGTAGCTAAGCTTGCGGTGGTGTAGTCCGTTGGGTCTTTTGATGCCCTTGCTACCTCGAACACATCTTTCCACAACGCTGCTTCCCTTTCTCGACGTTCCCGCACTCCACGCTGGCCCGGCGCCATCCACTCAGGAAAGTATCTCAGAAACGGCATGAGGTTTGGTATGGGTCCAGAGGGGCCGAGTTGGGAGATGAAGTCGCCGGCGTTAGTCATGTGCTCTACTGCGCGATCGGCGGTGCCGTACGCGAGGCGAGAGCTGATTCTGGCGCAGAAGAGGTGGGTAAGGGTGAAGAAGTCGTGTGGATTTTGAGAGAGCTCGTGCATAAAGCGCTTCATCTCAAGCTGGATGTGACCGTAGTATCGGTTCTTGGCTGCGCGTGTCATCATTGCGTTTGCGAACTTCTTTTGACGATGGAAGTGATCTATAAGTTGGAGGTCAGTAGCAGGCTCATACGAGAGTCTTGGGAATGCCAGACGTACCTGTGTACCCCAGTAGAGGCAAGTACAGAAAGTCCTGCGTCACCCCTGGAAAAGACCCTATATCTGCCCTCGCTGAACTCAGCTCCGCATTCTTGATCATCAGATCTTGCGCAACGTCTTCTCTCGCGACCCAGATGTGTGTTTCGCCACCCAGTGTGCACGAGAATAGTCCGTCATATTGCTTGCTGAACTTGTGCATTGAAGTCCAAGCCTGCATGCGATCGACATCGTGGACGCGACCCAAGTAAGGAAGTGTTGAACGTGGACCTGGAAGAGCTTTGAGGCCCGATCCAAACGGCGGTAGTTCGGATGTGAAGTAGTGAAAGCAATGGTATGTAACAAAGAGAAACAAAAGTAGAAGGAGGATGCGAAGTACAGACAGTAAGATTTGAGATCCAGAAGTAGGGAACGAATAGGCTGTATGATCTATCGTAGCGTTAACGGACTGGAGGATGGCCGCTGCGTCTGGCAGCTGCATGTTCGGTGCAAAGTTGCCCATGTCGACTGTGGAAGTATCTCGAATTTGGGGTTAGAATTCGCACCCTCCATCGCTGGCCGATGCAAATGTCCATATATACACTCGAAGCGACATAGTAAAGCCACTTCCACCGGTGTGGTCAGCAACCATCAGCCTAATCTTTTTTTGGAATACGGTCACCGATCATGTGGCTGCTCACACATTTTCCCTCGCAACTCACTCATATTAGATATACTCAGTCAGTTTGAGGGCCGATCCAGCTGTGTAAAGAGTAATGAATAGTGAGGATATTCGTAGACTGCAAGAATAAGAGCAGCAAAGTAGGAAGGTCAGCTCAAATGACGTTCCACGCTCTCGGGTTGAGCATGCGCATAGTATCCTCATCGGTACGGGACGTATATCGGTTCCCGTAAAAGCTTGATACATGCGTGCTGCGACCGTGCGTACTGTATAAGCACCGATGCATCTTCTTCTTCTAATGTGGAACTTCCTGATTCACCGTATTACTAGGGCCGATGACGAGTTGGGAAACATTTTCGCATGTGCTGTCATCATCTTCTACGCTGTTACCGGTTTCGGGATCGGTCCAGTCGCCAGAGTCGCCATCAGTGGTGCCTTCCTCTTCCTGGAAGTCAGCCTACATGCCGTGTGCGATATGATTGGATGTGCTAGCGTTGCGTGGACCGAGTCTAGAGTCAAACTGACATCGTAGACAATTGTGCTTGGATGGGATTACGCGCCGGAGCTGCGAGGTCGTTAGCGATGTCTGAAGTGATACTGCCATACCAGCCATTCGCAGCGCGTCCGTGAGAGTTTGTCCACACATGCCGCTGATCTTATATCAGTCTTGGCATGAGTTAGATAGCATGGCAGGTATCAGAAAGCTGTCGCGATCAGAGCATAGTATGGCGCTTCTATTTTCAACGTATCTTGGAGTGGGATGGAGGAAGGAGTGTGGATTTGACGCGTTTGGGGGGTTTGTGCTTGGCCTGAACCTCGGCACATGCAATGACCCTGAGCTAGGCCCGATTGGTCATTCCCCAAATCACGACAATTACGCGCAATTGCAACGCGTCCTTAACACCAACATTGCGAAATTTTTAGCATGCGAGAAGTGTATATCACATGGAGGACCGCACACAAACATGTGGCGTTCTTCATTATGCTCCACTTACCCCACATCGGTTAGCGCTACTGTAAATCTCAAATCGTCCTGGTCGCGACTGGACTATTCAAGCTCGAGATAGGCCAGGTATAGCCACCAACATGCTTACGCTTCTTCTCTCAGTCTTCATTGGCCTTATCGGGTTCCATCTCGGCTTTGTCTTGCTACTCACGATCCCGACTCTACAGGATCACGTCATCTTCCTGCACCGAGTAACCCGAACCTGGAATCAGGATATCAACGTACCCGAGCAATGGGGCTTTCTGCGCAACCAAGTCACACCTTTCCATCTCAAGACGCCAGATGGTGAGACTCTACATGCTTGGCACGTTCTGCCACTGGAGACATATCGCCAACATCAAACCCAACTCCGTGAGGAGCCAGTCGGACTCTGCGCGAACATCGAAGACCGAATCTCCTTCCGCTTACTGAAAGATCCTACTGCGCAAGTAGTGATTTATCTGCATGGCGCAGCAGGTACACTGGGATCTGGTTGGCGGCCCCAAAGTTACAGGGCGATGAGCGCGACATCGACCAACGTACATGTCCTGGCTATCGACTATCGTGGTTTCGGTACCAGTTCTGGGTGGCCTTCAGAAGCTGGTCTTCTTACTGATGCGCTTACCTTGCTCAAGTTCGTAACGGATACTGCGGGTATACCACCAGAAAGGATCGTGGTCTTTGCCCAATCCATGGGTACTGCCGTAGCTTTGTCGCTCACTCATCACTTGGCTTCACAGCCGACTCCTGTTGTTCTAGCAGGAGTCGTTTTAGTCGCCCCATTCGCCGATGTGGAGTTGCTTACAAGGACGTACAAGGTTGCTCGCACCCTTCCGCTGCTCTCCCCTCTCGCAATGTTTCCACCGCTTATGAACCTGCTGAACCGATTTATCATCACCAAATTTCCATCCAAGGAGAAACTTGCAGCACTCATTCACCGGCTGGACAGTGTCAAAGTCAACGGCAAGCAGCGAAACTATGACATCACGTTAATACACGCCGAAGATGACTACGATATCCCATGGAGTCACTCAGATGTCCTCTTCTGGCACGCTGTTAACGCAATATCTGATTCGTCCTCTTCTATAACCTTCGAAGAGCTAGAAAAGGCGAAATTGAAGGAGAGGACGCCTCTAGGTGCTGGTGGTTGGGAAGTGGAATGGAAAGGGAAGCGTGGGATCATCAGAGAACAGATTATCAAGCATGGTTCTCACGATCGAATCATGAGTTATCCCATTGTCAGCCTGGCTATCTCGAGGGCGCTCCATATGTAGGAGAAGAACCGATGGCCATCTGTAATGCATACCCCATCTGCAGCGACTGGGTCTCGCCGTGTCGGGCCAAGAGAAACACCAATCAGACGAACGCCTCACCGTTCCAACTCAGTTTGATCGTCTTCGCTTGATCTCGGTTCTCCATTCCTCGGAACACATCAAGGATCATAAGCGAGACACCTTCCTTGCGTGATGTACCGATCTTCAGCTTTCGCCCAACTGTGTGAAGTACCTCTTCCTCATTCGCCAGAAAAGAGCCTTTCGGGTTCTGTGCACTGATGTAGACACTCTCTAGCTCGGGCAAGAACATGGCGATGTCGGTGTCTACCACGTAGCTCCACACATTTGACATAAAGTCCCATGAGAGAACTCCGCGGAAGTAATCCTCGACGTTGACGGATACAGACGTGAGTAGCGCTCGCTGTGTACTAGTGAGACTGTTCACGAAAGCTCGACCAGATTGCATGTCGTCGAAGTGGAAGATGTTCTTTGTGTACTGGGTGAGAGCTGTTTCTCGGTGTAGCTGACGACATGCGAGACCAATGGTAAAGATACCCGAAACAGATGTACAGCTGCTCTTTTGGGCGCCTTCTTCAGCCGCTCCAAGGGTGATGAGATCGACCGATGTTTTCTCCGCTCGCTGGCGCAATCCTGATACGATGATGATGTTTCCGCCAACAACCAACTCGTAGATACGATTGCGCAGCTCCCCAGGAAGTCGAAGTAGAGGTGACTCGGTCTGGTTGCGAAAGGTGCTACATCTTATTAGTATAATACAGGATTCGATTTTGATGACTTACATCGCCTCCAACGGGACCGTCATCGCGATTGCTTCAGGTGGCGTCATACCACACTTTTGTCATTAGATTGGGTTAGGAAGGTAGATGAGAGATCTTGTTGCGTACGCCGCGTTTGATTTTATAGACGCTAGCCCAGGACCGTGACTCTTAGGGTCAAGACGCGATGGGTGAGAGAGACACAATCTCAAAGACCAAGAACCTAGGACCAGACCGCAGTCTGAGTCAAAGGCGCACTTCATTCTTTCGGTGAGAGAGACAGCCCGACAAACGCTGGACTGGCGCTCAGCGCAGCTTCAACGTTATGTGATGACACAAACACCGAGTTTGAACAGCCCTATGAGTTGTAATATTCAACCAGCAAAACAATATGGTTCGAAGCCCACGTGGTTGCGGAATATTATTGTGATACACGGCGGTGTTTGGTTACACATATCTCTTTACTCAATGCTCAGATGTAGGCGTGCACTTGGTGGTAGGGGTCTTTCGCGCTAGCCTCGATACGTCATTTACTTGGCGGAAGGGGATCGCGTCCAGTCGCGCTCAAACCGCCATCTCCGCCTCCGCCAAACATGTCCACGCCGACCTCCACACACAACTCAGCTGGCACCTTCCATCTCTCTATACGTCTCTCGCGCCCATTCGTAGAACGGAACCGGCGGCTGAACCTCCTTGCGCGTCAAGTATTTCCACCAATTCGCCCAGACATGCTGTCGTATGTACCCCACTCGATACGCGACATGCCATCCCGTTGGTAAATCGAACGTATACTGCAGCTCTTCGAGAGTCCGCATTCTCGTCTCCGGAACGAACAAATACACTAGCACAAACGCCACCATATTCAAACCTGCGAAGATAGAGAATGCAGCTGTCGGCCGAATGCTGTCCTGCAGGAATGGGAAGACTAGTACCAATACGCCAGCACCCAGAAGGTTGACCGCGACGGAAACAGCCATGCCAGCCTCCCTCGATACGAGAGGAAAGACCTCTGCTGCGATCGAGAACGGAGACGTACCGGCTGTTGGGGCATAAAAGGCAACGAAGATGACCGCGAAGATGCTGACCAATGGTATCTGGACGGACGTGTCGGTGATTTTGAAGAGGAAGGCAAAGACTAGGATTGACCATGCCATGTTTGGCAGGCCGAGCAAAAGCATGACGGAACGTCCCAATCGATCCGAAGACCAATAAGCAGGAAGCCCGAACATGTAATTCGCTGCTCCAAAGGCCAGACCTATTATCGCGGATGTACGATCACTGTTTGTTCCGGAGTTGGGCCACACTATCGTGCCTAAGAAGGCGATCGTGTTGACGCCCGTCAGGGTCTGGGTGATCATGGATACGGAAGCGCACAGCAATGCTCGTCGACACCGCTTGTTGGACCATAACTCCCTCAGACGCTTGTAGTAGCCGTTGACACCGATGTTGTAAGAATATGGATTATTCTTCTTCGTTCGCTTGACTCCAAAGTCGAAGCCTAGGCTTGAGATATCACTCCACGTCCGGTTCAAAGTCGCAAGCTCGATGTTGCTAGTCTCGTTCTGCTCGGGCTGTGGCCTGCTTTGGTCTTGGTCGTTGCTCGGTACCGTTGTTGTGCCCAAATTTCTTGCCTCGACGTGGGGGTCTTGGGTCGATCGACCTGGCGACACCGCGCTCTGCGGAGAAGGCCTGTCGAAACGTATACGATTCGATGCTGGCGGATATGGCTCTCCAGACAAGCTCGGCGCGCTGATATCTACGCGATCGGCCAGGGTGCCAAGCTCGTTCGTCTCTCCTTTCAATAGTCGGCTTTCGAAATCCAGCTGAGCATGCGCGTACATGAAATCGCGACTTGCTAGCAACCGAGTGGTTTGGACCTGTTCGAAGGCTTGGAGTGCTTTGGAGTATTTTCCATGCTTCATCAGGTATCGAGGCGATTCTGGCATTAAGTATATCATCACCAACAATGGCACCGTGGGAATCAGTACTGTGTTCGTAAGAATGCGCCACGCGGATTCCGGATTTTCCACGTAAATAACGACCAGCAAGTTCGCCAGAAACCCGAGAAAGATGCCTATTGGATTAACGGTTATACCTTATCGAAGGAAGAGGACGTACCGGCTGCATCAGCAAGCTGCCAGTTCGCCAGAACAGCGCCACGTATATGCTCTGGTGATATTTCAGCCGCATATATCGGAACTACAAGCTGTTAACCTCCTCGAAATAAGCATGAATGAGAGCTTCCACTAACCTATCGATGCTTTTGCACCCAGAGCTATTCCGTTGATAGCTCGGCAAGCTGCGAGTGAGCCTACGTTGTGCGTAAGTGATGCACCGATTGTCGAGGCTATTGTGATGCCACAAGACAGCATCACACTACCTCGCCTCCCTAGGAAGTTCTCCTGTAGCGGATCTGCGAGGAGGGTACCAAAGAGGCCCGCGGAAAGCAGCGGAATAGCGTTCAGCATGCCAAACGTCCAAAGATCGGATGAAGGACACTCCTCCTCCATGCGATCCCTGCGATAGCAGAGGTTAAACTCTTCTGGCATGCCATGAGCAGTGCCGTTATTGGCGCTTTGCGTCCATCCCTGGATCATACCGGCAAGACTTGCGGTCATGATTGTCGCGCGGAGAAATTTGGACTGCTTCCAAAAGCCTGTACTCTCATCCTTTTCCTTCTCCAACAACCCTTTCTCGGAATCTGTGAGCTCATCCGCGTATTTCCTCAAAGCCTCATACTTGTCTCGAGCGAGACGAGCACCAAACCGAAGCAACTCATAGCGGTCTTTGAGACCGGCTAGCGAAGCGAATTCCCAGACATACTCTTCCAGTTCGGTACGTTGAGTCTTCAGGTCGGGAATCGTGTCATCGAATGTCAAGAACGGATTATCTATACTGTTCGGGGTCAGTCGCATTCTGTTGACATCGACTCATACGCATACGTTTGTCTTGCGCCTGTTGAGCGCTGTTGATTCGTCGCAAAGGTTTGGTTCCCTACCGTGCCTCCAAAAGCTGTTGCTTGCTGAAGGGGTTCAGTCATAGTGACCAGCGCTTTGAGCAAGAGTATGTCGCTTAGGGATCGTAGTCATTGTGGGACAACGCGCCCCAGCATGACAATATATGTTTGCCTTCCACATCGGGCTGAGTCCTACAAGGCTGACGGGCCTTTTCCGAGGGTGAGCCTGATCACGCACACTGCATGTCTTGTCGGGGTCCTCCACCGCCAAATTACCTCCAGATACTCTTAGACGAGTGGCTGAGCATTAGTTCTACGTTCTGATGATCATCCTCTTCTCAGTGGATTGGCCGCCTTGCCCTTGCTTTTGGCATGCATCGCTGCCCTTTTTCAGGCAACATGGTCTTGGGTAATCTTAGCCAATAACCGCGTGCATCGCCAAATGCCGTCAGGCGCCACCAAACCGCATCCGGCATTAGGGTCAGCCATTGCATCACCCTGCAACTTTGGATTTATTGGTGACACTTGGTTCTCTCCTCAGCCCTCTGCCTCGCAGAATGCTTTGAAATTGCCTAGTTAGGACGCGCCATTGTGGGGAGGTCTGTCTGCGTCCCGAGTCTCTCTGGGGAGATGGACCAGTTGACGCGAAATCGCAAACGTTCGAAATGAGCTACCGAATGACGAGTTCCTCGGCGGATGAGCTGTCCTCGCAGCCCGCTCGGCTAGTCGATTTGTGGTGTGGTAAGAGAGGCTGTGGATCTACAAAGACGGCACATAAGCGTTTGCCTACTCAATCTGTAATAGTGTGGTTGTCGAGCTTCCCCCGCCATCCGCTTTCTCCAGACGTGTGGAGTTGCCCCAGCTCGTTGACGCATCGGACGAGTGCCAACCCTTGCATAGCGCATTTGACTGTTCAAACTTGGCTCTTACGTCAACTCACTTCACACGTGTGCTTCCCACATTACCCGTCCTCGTCCTGCCACGAACCGGCCGCACGCGTCCTGCTAAGCCCCTTCTTGATCTTTGAGCCGCGTGGCGAGAGGCCTCCTTCAAATGAAATCGATGCCGCATCCGTAACGATCATTGCGCTTTCGCCTGTGCTTATCAGACGATATCCTTGTGCAACACCATAACCTGGCTCCAGACTACCTTTAAAGACCCACTTTAAGTGGGCCTGGCCACCATACGCGAAACCTAAGTAACCATGGCCGAGACTCTTTCGAGCATCATTACCATCGCATCGCTTGGGCTCGCCGTCGTCCGAGCATGCAAAGACTACATCGAAGCGGTGCGGGAAATCGACAGTTTGGTCAGCCGGCTCCTCGAAAAGATAACAGAGGTGCATGGGGTTGTACGCGTACTCAACTCGAAGTATCATCAAGCTGAGCCCGATGATTCCAGCGAGCCGTCGATTTTGGTACGTGAGAAGATCACGCTATGTCGCAATCGTCTCAGGGAGATCAAATCGAAGATAGCGAACTTAGGAGCTCAAAGTAGAAGCGCGGAGACCTTTCGTGACAAGGCCTCTGTGAAACGAAGGATGGACGCAATAGCCAAGGATATTGAGTTCGCGGTGGACGATATTCGACGATACCTGGGAGATATTGTCATTGTGACTGGAGCCTGCTCATATCTGTTCGTACAGATCTTCCTCCGACTCCTACATTTCTAACGCGATGCTAGTGAAGTCAGCTCCTACATTCGCCGCGTTTCCGAGACCGCAGTACCAGTAAGTATAGTTCTCGACATTCAGCACAAGAAATGGCACTGAAGCTTATACAGCAACCCATCATGTATAACAGCAAAGAGGATCAACCAGCTCAATATGACCTCGTCTCGCTTGATCGGTGGTTCTCGAATACGGACACTGTATCAGATCCAGTACACTTCCGTAGAGCGTCCGATCCGACATCGGCCCCGCGATTCTCCGTTTCGTCTTCCTCTTCGAGCGCTCTTTTAACACAATCAGACGACGACGAAAGCATTCTTTCCAAACCAATGTGCGGCATCTCGAGACCTAGCGAAGAGTGGAAAGTCTTCCACTCGAAAGTGGCGCAATGCAAGGACAAGCCTGCCCTCGTTGCAGAGATTCGTACACTGTTGGAGGAGCATCCAGAGCCCGCGACTCTTGCGAACATCCGTGGGGACCACCAACGCGCACCCCTCCACCTCGCAGCGCAGCGTGGCTGTGTCAATATAGCTCGTGTTCTCCTCACGCACGGCGCCGACATTAACGCCAAAGACACCGAACCCGCTTCTGTGCTAGATCACGCTGTCGCAAACAATCAAACAGACTTCATTGCACTCATACTCGAGGAGGGTGCGGACGAGTTAGGGATACTAGAAGAGAACAAGGAGCAGTTGAAATCGAAAAAAGCTGTCATTGCGCTCGGAAAGGCGCGGCAGCAAAGTCCAACGACGGAGAAGGCCCGGAAATCTAGCTGGAGGCTTGGAAGAATACGCTCAAACTGAGCAATTCGTCTCGCGGAATTGTCATCCGGACCCCAATCTGACGGTGGCAACTGTGTGGCGAAGCTGTAGCTCTGGCGGCGAACACAACAGGGCTGCAGACTTTAGCCTACTGCATGGAGCGGAGGTGGGGTTACTCACCGGTCACTAGCCCACCACCGGACGGTCTTACACAGCATTTACGACCCTGCGCCCCCGCCGCGCCGTGCCTTCGGAACATCTTCTCGTTCTCGGACATGCTCGCGTTACTAGCCGATCGGGCCGTGCCACCTGCCACGGAACACCACAGCTGCGGCCTTGTCGGGTCATCCTCGTTGCATGTTTAGGCTGTCTGCACAGAGTATGTCGTACCCACGCCATGCTGGTCAATAATATGGCCCCCTGCCGGAAACTTCTGTCTTGGGTGCTGAAACCTAGGTCCTGCGTTAGAGTCATCTCTTCCAATCAGGTCGAGGTACACGCGAAGATTACAAGACCAAGTCATTGCTCCCAAGCACTCTTTCTCTAGCCAGCGAACATAATTCCAGTCTACACGACTTCATTGGATGCTCAACTTCTTGCAAAGACTCGTAGCTGGACACGTCTCTTTTCCGCCAACGTCCATACCTCATCATCTATGAAAGAATCACGCCTCTTGTCACTTATCGGCAGCTGGACGACGTTTGCCCAGGATTGGGGCTCAGAAACTGCAAAACCTAGAAAATACCCCAGGTCTTTGGCTCAGCGCCGCATCGCAAAATCGATCTCACGATGTGCGGCCTCTCTCATCCCAAGTGGCCACATCGTAAGTTCATGTCAAATCCTAAGGCACATGGCTCACGTGGTCAGCGACAGAGTGAATACTCTATTTGGCTGTCATCGCCTATTCACGCACGTGAACACTCTAGCAAGAACTGAGTCTATCCACTTTGCTGACAATCACTGCCAATCCACCTTCGCCCATCCATACCTACCCAAACCTCAACCTCTACACGAGACGACTACATTCCAGAGTCATGAACCCCAACTTCACTATAGCCTGCGGGGCTGATAGCTATACTGTCGATCTAGTCATTACTCCCTACTCTGAATACTTTCGGCGCGCAACAGAATTTGGGAAGGAGGCTTCCGAAGGCACCATAACGCTTCATGACGATGAACCTGCTATGGTCAGTCTCATGATCGAGTTTCTTCATGAAGGCGACTACGACGCCACTTCCTGGAAGATGGATGCGCGCACAAGGGATCTGACATGGATCAGAAGTTATCGCAGCAGCCCGTACGCTAGTTGCGAAGGTTCCGATCAGCACCACCCCTACAGTGTTGATGACAGTTCGAGGATGCCCCACGGAAAAACACCACCAGCAGTCGGCGCTATGTCTTCAACCAGCTCGAAGAAGCGGAAACTTCAAACATCACAAAACGTGCAACCTGATCAGATCGTCCAAAAACGACAGCGGATACTCCAAGATATGCCAAAGGGCTCAGGCCGAGCGCTCTACCATACTCCAACACCCCGCCACATGTTGCTACACCTCCAACTCTGGGAAGTTGCAGACAAGTACCTAGTACCCGACTTACAGGCGCTATGTACGAAGAGGTTCCAGGAAGCAGCGGAATACTACCATCCTAACCCCGAGATGATTGACGCTATCCTGTGGGTTTACGAAGATCTTCCGGAGCATGCGACGGATCTGCGGGAGGCGGTGTTCATGGTCGTCGACGAGCATCCAGAGCTGCTCGATGATGATGCGGTTAGGGAGTCTGCATCCTGTCAAGGTCTACGTAGTTTTATGTCTTCACGGGAATTTGGAAGGTCGCAGCGGATCATGACTCCTCAACGGGGGGTTTGGCCTTATGTTTCTTAGGATGGTGGAGTTGTTGTTGTCATGCTATATACCAATCTCGGGATGTTGTAAGCTTTTATAGGATATGTTTTCTACACGCCCATAATGATAATCTTTTACACATTACGCACGAGATTAGACGTAATTGAAGCTGCCCACATTGTATCTGAGCACGATCTTACTCCTTTGCATTCCAGTCGACCAGCGCATCTGCGCCCAGTTTGTCTTTGATGATCCGCTCGCTCAGATCCCAGAGCGCAGCACCAAGGTTCTCATCGCTGGCTTGGGATGTCTCTTTGCCTGGTTGGCCCTGCATCACGTGTCAGTCACGAAGTCCGACGTAGAATGTTCACCAAGAGCCAAAGACAACTTACCGGGTCGTTGAAATAGAACCCGTTCATGTTCTTCTCCTCAATCTCATCCGCCGTGCAGCACCAAAGCGCACTGTACGACCCCTGCTCCACATCCCTGCCAGCAAAGAGCATAGCATTCGATAGCAGCTTGCCAGTAATACCGGGGTATGCGTCCTTCCACTGCTGCTGCATAGCCGTGTTGACAGCGCCTGGGTGTACGGAGAGAGCGTATACATTATCCCCATTAGGCTTGATGACGCGGTCACGCAGACCGTACTTCGCGAACAGAATCATGGCCAGCTTAGTGCGCCCATACAACCGCGTGGGATCCATAGAGCTATCGTTGATCTCATCCATGCTTGCAAAGTGTACATCAGACGGCGCAGTGCGATGCATCTCACTCGACTCAAAGACGACCCTCGGCGCAGGCTTCGTGCCCATCTTACCCGTCTTGCGAAGTACCGGCCACAGCTGATTGCACACGTAAAAGTGACCTAGGAAGTTCACTCCGAAGTGACGATCGATACCGTCCGCATCCTCCCCGTAAAAGTTCGTGTTTATACCTGCGGACAGAACGAGGAAGTCGAGACGGTCGAGCGAGTTACGCAGTTCGGAGAAGACTTCTTTGACTTCCTTGAGGCTGCCCATGTCGCAGTGTTTCCATTCGACCTGCGCGTCGGCCTTCTCTTTCTTGATGCTTGAGATGGCGTCGGCACCCTGCTCTTCTTTACGGTTCACCATGATGACTTTTACGCCTGCGAGGGCGAGTGCGCGGCTGACTTCATATCTTTAAGCGGGTTAGCGAAGATCTAGAAGGATAGAGAAAGAGGCTAGTCGTACCCGATTCCAAGAGCACCGCCAGTGACTACTGCGACGCGACCTTCGAGGTTTTCTGGGTGAACCTCTTTAGGGCCAATGACTTTGTGGAGGACGGACTGCATGTTGATTTCTAGTAAATGTAATCAGGTTATTGTAAAGTAGGGAGTAGAAAAATAAAGACGGTTTCTCTCGATACAAATAAATCACGTTGTGTTTGATATGCACGCTTGTCTATTACCATAAGTGACGTCTTGAGGAATTGAGATGTTGCCCAGCATATGCAGCTGTCACATTCACATGTCATGACGTCACAGTCGGATCACCATAATCGGTACGCAGCACGTTCGCGGTAACGCCTTGTGAGACGAACGAAGCTTTACCTGGGTAATCTTCTACAATCTATACATATCATACTACAAATAGATCAAATAAATACGCCAGGTGTCTAGCGCTTCTTTTACTCAAGAACTTATAACGGTACCTAGGTATGAATTAGGAAATTTGGACCTCTTGATACCAATGTGATTTATGTATTAACCGCGTACGTGGATGCTCCTCGATGGATTTAGTAGAAGACGGTGACGCCATGCTAACCAAACGCGCGGTCACCTGGGCACCCACCGCATCAGTCTCTGCACGTGCTTTTGTTTGTTTGCACCTTCCTTCCTACGTCGTTACCTCGCATTTGATTAGCTCTCACACCCTCCATTGCATCCGCAGCCTGCGTCGCGCAGCTATATGGACAAGATGGCGTCGATTAACGCTGAGCCACCTGGTGAGATATCACGAATGTAAGTGAACGAGCTCGGCCCATACTACAAGATCCACCTTGATCACTGACATGCTTAGTACCGCCCGAAATATAACGCAATCCCCGCTTCTTCGTCTTCCTGGCGAGATTCGCAACAGAATACTCGGCTATGCTGTCGGAGGATACACCGTCACCGTGACAGTCCACTGCAATCCACTATCTGTACGCTCAGGGCTCCAACTAAGGGTTCGTCTCGCCACAGCACACCAATTCAGAAACTTCCAACTTCCCAAATCTCGGAGACACTACATGTTAGGTGTCTACCAGAGCCGGGGCATCCCCACAGAAGATCTGTTCGACTTCCGAGGCGCAGCATGTAGTCTCGACGGCGTTGATCAAATCCTGACCGTTACACGCGTCTGCCGTCAACTTTACCACGAAACCGCTCTCCTCCAGTTCAAGACCAATTGTTTCCATTTCAACTCGATGGGAGCACTTAAGCTTTTCACAGAGAAGCTGGCTTCCGATCAACTTAGAGTCATTACCACTATCTCCATCGGCATACAGTACACGTACGAACACCGTTTTTACAAGCCAAGTGGACCTCAACCACACATACGTGTATTGTTCTCTGGACTCAAGAAGCTATTCATGACGGCAGGTGCGTTGGAGATAGTTTCCGGCGCGACTCCTCACGATAGGCTTGTTGCAGCCGTGGATAGACTGGCCTTCGGTGGTGATGAGGGTAAGGGCTTGTGGGTCGGTTGCTTCTGTGTACTTGACGAGACTGCTGTCTTAAAAGACGCCTTTGGCTTCACGATCGGTGCTGGCGTTGCTTCATCGTCTTGATAGGCTAGACGGAGGAACTCGGTCATCGAGTGAGATAGTGCGAGATGTATGGTCGTTCGACTCTTGCCAGAAGCTGGTTCATTGACTTGTCATTTGTGCGATGGCCAATAAAAGATAAATCAATGTTACCATTTTCACACACAAGCAGTTGATGCAAGAAGACCTAACTGTTAACCTTTCATTTTCCAACTCACCCTCCATAAGTGTAGAGAGAAGAGGTGTTGACAACCACCACCACTATGCTAACCGTATAACCAATACCCCAAGGATCAATTTTAGTAGTATACAAAGACACACCCTGCTAACCAGGATCCGAAAGAACAAGGTTCCGAAAAGGAGAACAAAACGCTGCAAGTACGATGGAAGCAATATAGTACAGGGTCCCCCTGCCTTAGAACGCCTATGCTGATATATGTGCGTGTGTGCTTCTCTTCGAATGCCCCTAGCTTCAGGTGGATATCCAGATTCCTTGCTCTTCTTGCATGATATGATGACCTAATCCAAATCATCCGTATATCAACCCCGCGTGTCTATGCTTCGATTATACTAAGCAAAGAGTCAAACACATCCTCGTCATCTTCATCTTCATCCTCTTCACCATGTGGACGCTGCGCATACACTTCCCTTTCGTCTTCCGACGGCGCATCGCTATCCTCTCCGTTATCACTGCCAAGCCCGCTGTCATCACCTGAGAAACTGGCTCCTTCTTGCGCACCCGTTTCGGCACCAAGGACTGAGCTTGAAGCGCTGTCATTGTCCTGGTCATTATCGTCATCGGTGACGCCGCGCCAGCTTTTCTCGCCGTCATCGTTATCGTGAGCGTCGTCGTCATCGTCGTCCGGTTCGGTATCACCGCCATTGTTGTAAGCGTTGAAACCAGGGCCAGCCGGGAAAGGTCCTGAGTGCGGTGTTGCGTAGGCGAAAGGCGTTGATTTACCTGCTATGGCGACGGACCGCTGGCTGGGTCTGCTCATGACGTCTGAGTTCGATCGTGGTAGTGCAGGTTGTGACGAGTAGAAGGGTGAAGGCGGTTCTCGTGATTGCCGAGGAGTTGCATTCCATATCGCTACATGTGCTTCTTCGGGTCGTGGGGAGGAAGAGTTTGTTACGCGGCGTCGCTTCAATCTCGCTGATGGTAGGCTAGGTGCACGTGAAATTGGCTGCGGGGCGGAGGATTGCTCAACGATGGAGGGATTGAAGCGACGTTTCGACTGACGAGGTGTGACGGTATCGACAACCGAAGCAGATACCGTACGGTTGCGATAGTAGAGTGGACGTTGCGGATGGTTCTCACTTAGTGGAGAGATGGGCTGGGGTTGCTTGTTCTTCAGTATCGAGTTGGGAGTGATTGAACGTCGCCAATTTCGACCAGCAGGGCGCATGGAGAGCTGGACGGACTGATTGCTCCCGAAAGACGAATGCACACTAGCAGGCGGAGCATCGTATGTCTCGACGAACTGCCAACATGCTTCTTTCGCATCTGCTTCAGGGACATGCGCTTGGCACTGTTCGTCGTTGCCTTCCATCTGCGAGTCTTGGTCGGGTTGATATCGAGGTAGTTGGCGTAGCTCTGGCCAGGACTGTTCCATTACAACGAACTCGTTGCGATCGACTTGCTGGGTGTAGGCTTCGCGGACGGTGACGTAAAGCCTTTTCTTTCCACCGGAAACTCTCATCATGACACCGGCTGAGAGAAACTGAGCATTCCAGAGCGCACTGCTGGACATCTCGGCGGGCGTAAGAAAACGTAGTCGCGACTCCTTGAGTACTTTTCGAAGTGGTATGTAGGGCGCTCGAAGACCTGGGTAGGCAGAGATCATAGGGTTTTCGTCGCTGTCGTCGTACTGCAGGTAATCGAAGACATCAGAAAATGCATGTGACAAGGCTTCTTGAATATCTTTGGCGCTGGAACCCTTGAACGTAACATCTCGGACAAAACCCCTGCTTTGGAGTCGCTTGTAGACTAGGTTGTTGCTTCCACAAGCTTTGGGAAACAACCAGTCATCCGTAGATCCCGAAGCCCAATTACTAATGTCCTGGCTACTCCACCCGTTGTCGGCCTGGCTAGGTATAGATCCTCTGACCGAGTTGCGAGCACCAGGGTAGGGGCTCGAATCGGAGTCTCGTCCGAGGAATGGCAGGCTTTTTATAGTCTTCAAGGTATGAGCTTGGGTCCACTCTTCAGAGTTCTGGGTTGTTGTCTTCGCTATGTCATGCATGGGTTCATCAGGCGAGAACCAGATGCCTTTCAAGTCCGGACCCCATGGCAGTAGGACAACCTCAACTTCCCAAGGCTGTAGCGATGTGGGTGGCGCCGCGGATTCCAGCACATCCAATCTCTCTTTAATGTTATCAAGCTCCATTTCTGTATCTTTGCGATCCATGGCCGCGAGGATAAGGGCGGAGGAAGTGCTGGAATCAACAGAGTGATTGGAGCCAAACGACGTGGTGGCGTTGTCGATGCGCCTTCGGCTAAAGGAGCTGGTGCTACTTTGCTCGTCCACAGCTTCATGCATGCGTTCATGCTCATCCATGCGATGCTCCACGTCGATTAGCCTACCCTCGTACATCTCCAAGGTGTTGTTAAGATCTTCCGGCTGAACGTAGTTGAAAGATCCATTCTCCAGCAAGTCTAGGCGGCTACCAAGTTCCTGCATGGTTTTGGCTACATTGGGTATCGAGTTCAGCAGATTATGGAGAGGGGCAAGGTAGGAGACAAGCTTCTGGAGACCTTGTGGTGGAGCCGATTGGAGGAGGGTTTGCAGCTGTTCCTGTGGCCCTGCAGTAGCGTTCTTCGGCAAGAGCTGGGTGGGAACTGTGCCATATGTCTGCCGCTCAGGTGAGCTAGTCGACTGCTGTTGGATTTCCGAGGTGATGCGCTTCATTGCGTCAATCATGTCCTTCCCGTCCTGTACAGCCCGATCAGCAGCACTCAGATCTGGAGTATTCCCAACGCTTGGAGTAGCCACCTCGGTAGCGCTCTGTACGTATTCCTCGGGGTTGTAGGTGTTGGGTATGGTATCGCCAGGCTCGTCGGGCTGGAAGTTGCGATTGAACTCCAATACCTGCTCGAGGATGCCGCGCGATGGGCTGGTGATGTTCGCTCTGCCCGGGGAGATGACGGGCTCGTTGGGTAGCTTTCGCGGGGTATGTGCGATGTTGATGTCATCGGGTATAGTGGATGTAGGCGACTGCTGACGGTTAAGCTGAGCCATGCTCTCCAAGTTCATCATCGAAAGACCAAGACCTGCCACCGTCTGGCGCGACTGATTCCCGCCATACCTAGCTTCGCTGTTAGCTACTGGGCGGCATTCATGAGATAGCAAGCACACGGAAGGAAGTCCAGGAAGGCCGCTGGTGCTGATTTGTGATGGAGTGTCCTGACTTTGTAGCAAGCGACCAAACGAGTTGGTCTCAGAGGGCTGTCGCTGGGGGCGCTGGCTAGGACTGGAGTGTTGATGCATGCGCGCATTGTATATGGCTTGACCCCCTTCAGACAGAAGGTTGTCCCCCAGCTGTCGCATCGCAGCACTCGTGTCGCATTGCGCGCTTGCCTGCAATTGGCGCGGCTCTTCACCTGTCGCATACAGTGGTGGCAGCGGGAGATTCATCGACAGCGCCTGCCTCTCTGGCGCGCGCGACGCCCTCAGATGGAAGCAGGCATGGTGCCCGCAAACACACCACGTGGAGCGCTCGCTGCTGGGCCGATGGTCGGCGCTCTCATCGTGCAGCTCGGCGCTCAGCTTGTCCCAGAACTGGTCACATCCACACTGTCCTATATGCGCGTCGCGATAGTTGCACGGTCCGTTTGGCAGCGATCGTCTCGAGGGAGTTGGTTGCGACGGCGCACCATGGCTTTGTCGCGTGACATTGGTATTTGGGTCGCCGAACCCCGCCATTGGTGTTGATGGCAGCGCATCCCGCATAGGACGCGAATAGTCTAGGAGAGAGACATGTCGCGGTTCCTGTTGAAGCTTTCATCCCGTTAGCACGTTTCCAAGGGAAATTCTGGTGGGGCCGAGGGCATACCGAAGAATGTGCGAGCAGACTGCGAAAACCAGGCGACGTCGAGGGGAGGAGCGACGGGTCTTTATAGACGGGCAGGGCGCAGCTGGGAGGACGCGACGGACGCGACAGAACTGGTGGGCACACGAGGGGAAAGAGGCCGTGGATACTTTTGGGCCGTGACTGTTTAGCACGCATGCACGCAGCCCGCAGCGGTTTAGTCACGGCTGCCTCAGACACTTCCCCGGAGTCTGGGTACGCGCGGGACAGGCCTATCGATACTAAGACGCCCACGTGATTGGCTGAGGGCACGCATTCCTCCGCCTCCCCTGCTTAGCTGACACCCGGCCGAACACCCTGGCCGTTTGCTACCCAGCCGTCGAATCCAGCGACGCTATAAACGCCATGTGCGGCCGGCGGAGGGTAAAAAGTAAACCCTCCATCATGGCCCTGATGCTTCTGAGAAAAAGCGATCTCTTTGCATCCTGCCCATCTCTACCTTATCAACTCCCATTTGTCAAGGCAACAACAACACTATACATCGCGCCTTTCTAGTCGACTAGGCATGCTCCTTATTGGCCAGCACTCACGGAGGACTGTCGCGCATGCTGCATTGCATCTGCACGTCCAACAGGCCCGACCATGGAGACTTGCGCATGGCGACAAGTTTCGACCCAGACATCAGCCTCGCCATGGACCTATCTGTACAAGGCAGAACCGTATGTGACTAGTTGTCGTCAGCGCTGCGTCTGCGCTGCATCTGACAGGGTCTCGATCGGGAAGGCGGGCGCTAGTCGAGGATATGAGTTTCAAGATTGGGAGATACAACTATCTGCCGAGCGCTCGTCCCATCTTGTGATGAGTAGGGTGCAACCACATCTTGCCCATCTCACATGCCAACGGTCGAGGCCGCGAAGCGCTTACGCACCCACCCACTATTCTCACTGTTGGGTGGGTGTCATCATGGTGTCTTCCAAGATTGGCATGCACATGTACATCTTGATCGTGTAACAGTACCATCGATTATCTTTTGGGTATAGGCTTGGATTGCACATTTCGCCTCATGCATCCACCGTTAAGAAGTAGACCTTAAGGTCCTTTGAATCAGGTAGACCACCAGCCAGATTTGGCATCTCTTCATCCACGTTTTCCTTCCAACATTTCTACCAAAGCTATCCATCCGCAGTCATTCTCCAAACTTCATCTGGCCATCCAGTCCTGCTTATCCGCCTTTCCTCGTCAAACATCCACGTCCAAGTCTACCCTCCAAATCGTCTCTCTAAAGCCCATCTCCCCTATTCCTCCCTCCCCCTCGGCACAATGCACCCCGCCGTAACCAAACTGTCCTCCTTAACCTTCAAGCAATGCACCGTATACGGCGGAAGCCTCATCGCAACCCCCAAATGCATCTTTATCTCCGTCGGCTGAAGTTCACTTCCAAAGTCAGTAAACACCTCTCTCACACCTTCCTTCCGGTCAACACATACCTCATATCCACCTTTCCCGGCTCAACATCTAACAACCCCTTCTCCACTCCCGTCAACGGCCGTCCATTAACCTCCATAACCGCCTCCCCTTCCTCAAGCAGATAGTAACACTCATCCGTCGTAAACCTCACCGCAGACTGGAACTGTGCCTGTAATAACATACGGTGTGCGAGCCAGAACCTGTTGTTTGCCATGTAATATTGCATAGCCGGGGCGTTGTTCCGCGAATTGTTGATTTCGACAATGGCTTCTGGGATACGGACGGCGGGAAGATGAGGACAGCAGATTGGAGAGAGGTCTTTGGAGGCGAACTGAGATTTGACTTGGGCTCTGGTCCATTTGGTGATCTGTGGTAAGCCGTAGGTTTCGACATCGACAGTCTCGTTTGGTTTGGTCCATGAGGACAGGAGGAGGGAGATGGGGCTTGTTGATAGGGTGGCCATTGGGCGTGTGGGATGGAGAGTGTAGATGAGGAAGTTTGTGGTAGATGGAGGTTTGTTAAATAAGTAGAAGGTGGGTGGAAAGTAGATTGGTGGGTAGGTGGGTAAAGGTAGGTGAGGTGAGAGAAGTGCTATCAGTTGCGAAGGACAAGCTTTAGCCCGCAACATCTAGGTGAGGGTGAGTCTGTGGTAAAGCGATAGCTCAACTCGGTGGAATTAGAGTGGAAGACAACGATAATAACGTCTTCAATACATGTAAGAGCTTTTAATCATGAACAGCAAGCTTGCTAGCATACATTCGTAAAACAACCGCACGAGCATTTCGACTCTACAAGAGAAGTTTGCATTGTTTTCAAGATGCCTCTCACCCTTCAACTCAGTGGTAATAGCAGTATCTGAATAAGTCAAAACACCTTCTACCCTAAGCCAGTCTCAACCCATTCTCCTCAGGCTTAAACCACTCCCTCAGCAGATCCTCCAAAATCCCACTAGCGCCCTTCTTCGCCTCCTCACTACTCTTCCCCTGGCACTCAATGTAAAGCTTAATCTTTGGTTCCGTCCCGCTGCCTCTCACTGTAAACACGGCCCCATCATCTAGCTCGCAGGTGATCATCTGGCTAGTGACATCAACCGGTAGATCGGGTTTGTGGTCCTTGCTCTTTGAGTCATAGCCCAGTGTCAGGTCTCGCCAGCGCGCGATCTTACGGGAGCCAATCGACGTTGGGTGGGGGCTGCCCAGTGCGCGGATGGCTGTGAACACCGATGTTGTTACTGATGGCGATGGCGAGACGAGGTAGGTGTTTGCGTCTTCGAAGTAGCCAAGGTATTGGTAGAGCTGTTGCAGCTTGGAGTAGGGCGTGAGGCCTTGGGTGGACCAATGCGATGCCGCGGTTAGGAAGACTGCGGCTGCGCTGATGGAGTCTTTGTCGTGTACCGTTTGGGGGATCATGTATCCCAGCGCTTCTTCAAATGCGTAAACGACATCGTAGCCCTCGCTATCGAGTTGTCGTGCTACGTTTCCAAGCCACTTGAACCCGGTCAAGGTTTCGGTAAACTTGAAGCCTTCCTTCTTCGCTAAGGCTGCGAGCATTCTGGAGCTGACAGTAGAAGCCAGCATTGCAAGCTTTTCCCGCGGTTTCGATGCGGGGTAGCGTTCGTAGAGGTAAGATCCAAGCAGCGCTCCGAGTTGGTTCCCGCTGAAGATATGCCATTTATCTCCTACCTTCTCTGCTGCCGCAAGTCGATCTGCATCGGGATCGCTGGCGAGAATCAGGCGTATCGAGGACTTCTCTGCCGTTTCGATTGCCAAGTCGAGCGCACCCTTCTCTTCAGGGTTCGGGAACTTGACTGTGGGAAAGTCGGGGTCGGGTTGTGCTTGAGCTTCCACCACGGTCATCTGCGAGGCTACGCCAAGTGTCTCTGCGCATCGCTGCATCGCGAGAAGTCCAACACCGTGCATCGGCGTGTACACAAATCTGAGCTCTGGGTCTATCTTGACCTTGACGTGCTCGGGCTGTGCGGCACATAGGACGGCCTGGTGGTACTTGTCTTGCACCAAATCCAGACTTCCTTCCACCAGAAGGGAAGACTCTATCACAGTTGTATCCCAAGTGACAGGCTTGAGATTCTCCATGATAGATTCGGCGATTCCGACGTCGTGTGGGGGGATGATCTGGCACCCGTTCGACCAGTAGACTTTGTATCCATTGTCTTTGGCCGGATTGTGACTTGCAGTAATCATGATACCAGCAGCGGCGTCGAGTTCGCGCACGCCAAAGGGAACCATGGGCGTATGGCTCGGGTCCTCATACCACCACACCTTGATGCCCTTTGCGACAAATGCAGCTGCGGTGAGCTTGGCGAACTTTTCCGAGTTGTGCCTCGCGTCCCGACCAATGACTACACCCCTTCTCTCAACGTTCTTTTCGGTTTTGAGCAGGTACGCTGCGAGTCCTTGGGAAGCTTGAATCACTGTCAGAGAGTTCATACAGGCGAAGCCGCCCTGCATGGGCCCCCTGAGTCCAGCTGTTCCGAAGGCAATACGATGTCGAAGTCGCTTTTCGAGTTCCTCGGTATCGCCATCCACCAACAACTTGTAGATCTCATCTGTCGTTGATTTGTCCTCGTCGAGCTCCAGCCACTCTTTCGCTAAATCCTTGATATCTCGGGTCATGATTGGAATCTCGAATTCTGGGGGACGCCTTGGGTGATGTGATTTGTTCTGAGAAAGGATGGAATTGAGAGTGGAAGTCAACAAATGTCACTTGGCAGAGAAAGGTCACGAAGTAGAAGGTGATGGAGTGTCGGAGTTTGCCGACAGAAAGCGCGCAATAGCAAGCTCAAGTGGGCACCTGCCGCATTTATGCTCTCCAAGACTTTGAAATTTCTCGAAGCTCACGTGTAGATTCTGGTGACTTATTACTTACATATACGGCGCTGCAGGGGCATACACACTCTCAGCTTGACATGTGAAGTCGTTGCTGGATGCGGCTCTGGGGTGGCGAGGAGCGTGGGGGCGTGCAGGGTCCTGGCGGGCAAGCTTCGGAAGTTTATCAGCTCATGATCTCCTGTTCCACTGGCTGGTTCCGGCGCAGCTCACCGCAACGCCTAGCTCCTTCTGAGACGCCGCGAAGCTATGGTCTGACTGTCTGTACATTGAAATTCGTTCGTCAATTGAGCCCGCACCTGGACACCCGTTTGTGCACGCTTCGTGTACCACACCGTACCGCACCGCAACATGGCCGCCGGAGCAGACAGGAAGTCAAGAGTCTTTAGTCGGGGAGAGATCGAGGCCCAGATCGCCAATGGTCGCTCGATTGTCATCGTAGACGGCAAAGTCTTGAAGGTGGATGCATGGCTACCCTACCACCCAGGCGGTGACAAAGCCATTGCGCACATGGTGGGACGAGATGCCACAGACGAAGTCACTCGGTATGGTCTCCCGTGTTGCCCAGGAAAGCTTAATGCTGACTTGTGTACCCAGATTTCACTCTGCGCAGACGCTCGAGCTCATGAATCGCTACCAAGTCGGCCGTATCGAAGGACGATGGACCAACTTCCTGCCGCCGATACAGGGAGGAAAGTTCCGGACACAGAAAGAGCTGGATAGACTCTCAGAGGAGGAGTACATGGAATCATGCTCCTCTTCAGAACAGGAGACTGTTAGCTCAGCCTCTTCGGCAGACAGCAGCCCGCTCTTCGAACCAGCAGATCGGCCGTCTGCTTCGGCCCGCAAACGCAACGGAGCCAATGTCACCAGGGCTTCCTCGAACTCAAGCGTCTCATCGGTCGAGCTGGATGACAGGGTCACTCCGAAGATGACAGTGCTTGACAGGCGGACTCAAGAAGAGCTGGATTTCGACAAGGCCAAATACCCGTCCCTGGACCCGGCCACTCAAGATCGGATCACTCAAAAATACCGCGACTTGCAAGTGCGCATAAAGCAAGAAGGCCTCTACGACTGCAATTACACTGCTTACGGTATCGAATGCCTACGTTATGGGTCTTTCTTGGCCGCTTTCATATTCCTGCTGACGAAGGGGTGGTACATCACCAGTGCCATACCACTTGCGTGCTTTTGGCACCAGCTCACGTTCACAGTCCATGATGCTGGACACATGGGTATTACGCACGACTTCACGACCGACTCGACTATCGCAATGTTCATCGCCTCCTACTTGGGCGGTTTAAGTGCCTGTTGGTGGAAATACAGCCACAACGTTCACCATCTCGTTACCAACCATCCCGAACACGACCCTGACATCCAATACATTCCTTTCTTCGCTATCACTCATCGGTTCATGGAGAGTCTCACTACAACTTTTTACGAATGGGCGATGGAATACGACGCATTCGCAAAGGTCATGATCCCGCTACAGCACTACACATATTACCCGATCATGATGGTAGCGCGTTTCAATCTTTACAGACTGTCCTGGATGTATTTGCTCCTTGGAAAGGGGCCCAAGAAAGGACCAGCTTGGTGGCACCGATATTTCGAGATGGTGGGCATGTCGTTCTACTGGACTTGGTTCGGCTATGGAGTCGTGTACAAGACCATACCCGACAACTGGAGCCGCTTCTGGTTCGTCTTGATTGCCCACGCCGTTACGTCGCCGCTCCACGTGCAGATCACGCTGTCTCATTTCGCTATGAGTACGGCAGATTTGGGTATCCATGAATCCTTTGCGCAGAAGATGCTTCGTACGACGATGGATGTTGACTGCCCGCAATGGTTGGATTTCTTCCATGGTGGCCTGCAGTTCCAGGCTATCCACCACCTGTATCCGAGAATCCCTCGGCACAATCTGAGGCAGACCCAAAAGTTGGTGCAGGAGTTTTGTAACGAGGTGGACATACCGTATGCGTTATACGGTTTCTTGGATGGTAACAAGCAAGTCGTTGGGCGACTGGCTGATGTAGCCAGGCAGGCTGCTATTTTCGCTGAATGCCAGAGGACCATTGCTGCGGAGGGAGATTATGGAATGCATTGAGGAATAGATCATGAACATATAGAGCAATCGAATGCATTCACACATCCACTTGGTTGGAGTTTACATGTTAAGGACGGCCGTGTCTGCCAGCATTGCTTCACCCCAAATGTCTGCCCAGGCTGCACGTAAATATTTGAGCAGCAAGCTTGCTGCAGATGCTTGCGCAGATCACTATCCGCTCGGATGAAGTTCCGATACCGAAGCCAGGGTCGGAAGGGAAGTGGAGGCTGGCAAGCATGCTGTCCGCCGTCTTCCGGCGTCTTGAGATCATGTTGAGAGGTCCTGCACTGGCACACGAACTGGTGGCATCAACATAGCCGTAGAATTCAGCTTACCGGCAAAGATACGGGTCGTACGGTTGCCATTCTCCAGCTCAGTCAGCTCAGGTACACATCACGCCATGGATGGCACATCGTGAGCATTGGCGGCAGGAACGCGTCGCTCACTAGCGTGATTCTCGACTGACCCCACCTCGGTCCATCGAACCATGACGCAACCGACAACACCTGC